AGAGAGAGAGAGAGGCAGGCAATGGGCAGAGAGAAGGAGAGACAGAATCCCACGCAGGCTCTGCACCATTAGCACCGAGCCCGATAAAGGGCTTGAACTCACAAACCATGAGATCATGACCTGAGCTGAGATCAAGAGTCAGATGCTTGGGGTGCCTGAGTGACTCAGCTGGTGTCTGACTCTTGGTTTCGTCTCAGGTCATGATCTCATGGTTCTTGGGTTTGAGGCCCATATCAGGCTCCATGCTAGCAGTGTGAAGCCTGCCTGGGATTCTCTATCACTCCTTCTCTCTCTGCCCCTCCCTGGCTCACTCACTCTCTCAAAATGAATAAACTTAAAAAAAATTATAGGGGTGCCTGGGTGGCTCAGTCTGGTAAGCATCTGACTTTGGCTTAGGTCATGATCTGGTGGTTCATGGGTTTTCATGGGTTTGAGCCCTGTGTTAGGCTCTGTGCTGACAGCTCAGAGCCTGGAGCCTGCTTCAGATTCTGTGTCTCCCTCTCTCTCTGCCCCACCCCCATTAGTGCTCTGTCTCTCTCTCAAAAATAAACAGTGAAAAAGAATTTTTTTAATTTTAAAATTACTCTTAAAAAAAAAGGTCGGATGTTTAACTGACTGAGCCACCCAGGTGCCCCCAAAAGTATTTCTATAAGATGTAATAATCTCTATTTTTAAAATGCATGCCCATATTTGTGTGTTTGTATACACTTACCTTGCACTGAGTTACATGAAATAAAAATAGGGAAAGGACTCTGTGTTTGCAGCCTTGGAGGAGTTTCCCATTTGCCCAGCTGTCATAAAATCCCAACAACAGAGATGCTGAAAGATCACACTGAGCTGTGTCTCATGTGGAGGTGTGCGTGTGTGTATGCACCAGTGCAGCTGTTTTTAACTGTGTGTAGTAGTTTGCATAAAAGTTGTTTATATAGAAACAATAAAGAGGTGCCTGAGAAGAGGTGGGGAGTAGTAAAGAAGATGATAGTGACGAAGAGAAATATCTTCCCATGGAGTAGACACTCAGAATGGGGAGTGTGTGCAAATGAAATGGGACAATGATGTTTTAGAGAGTTTAGTAAGATACCGGCTCAATAAATGGTAGCCACAATCATTATGATTATTACATGGTTCCCGCTTCATGTCAGAAGGAAGTAAAAGTCCTTTTCTCTTTCCTAAGCCAGGTAGCCTTCATTACTCCTGGTGACATAAATAGAGCTGGCCTTATTGACCAAATGACAAAACTGGGGTAAGAGAGGGGAAGTAACTCATTTCAAGGTTTCACAGCAAGGAAATGGCAGATCAGCTGATCACTGATAACTTTTTCATTTCACTGTGCGTATATATGTCATACATACAACGTATACACATACTGCAAACCCACCTCCATGCACATATACCCCCTTGTGCAGGTGCACAAACTTACCGCTTCTCAACCTGTTGTGAGTGGACAGCTGGAGAGCATTTTCCGGGCAGTTCCAGCGTTCCCAAGCAAATTGGAACTTACACTCCTCAATGCCACTCTGGGCACCCAGGGCCACACTAGTAGTGTAGGTCAGATAGGCCTGGCAAAGGGAAAAGGGCTATGAAGTTCAGCTCTGGCTCAGGTCAGGTTGTCTGGGGGGAGCAGGGGAGCAGGCAGGACTCAAATGGGTTAGCTCTCCATTAAGGAAAACTTATGGGCTCCCCCGTCTGTCTCCCCTCCCCTCTTTTCTTTCCCCAAAAGAGTTCCCTTAGGAACCCAGATGGGTAAAAACAGAAGCCAGAGACCATCCTACCTTAGGGCCTGTTATCAGGAAATTGTTCACTGACCTATCAAAAAGAGGAAAAGTGAGGCAAGTGGTGAATGGGGATGATATAATGGGGGTTTCCTTGGTGGGGA